AAACCATCTGGACATGCAAATGATGTATATACTCATTGTAATTCTTATAAATCATGACCGTGCAAAAAAGCTTAGCTAGAGCCTGCATCAAATGCCTTTCAAAGAGAATCGAATTGAAGTAAGAAATAGCAACAATACCTTCAATTGTCTCCAGCATGCCCAGAAGTAATGCAGAAATTTATCTTCTGATATATCCAATCTGATTGTTCCATTCAAAGTGAGATTGTAAAAAATATATATATATTAGATAAAGTAAGAAATACAACTTCAACAAAGTTAATGAGCTTGAAAATAATAAGTAAACGGAGAGCTTCCTAATAATTTCTCAGTGTGTCACATGTACATGATGTTTGTGTTTTATGATAGAAAGAGAGGGATGGGTGAGATGAGACATGTTTTTTGCTAAATACCAACATATATTTCAACACTAACCCATTTATACGAAATCTCTCACGCACATCAATGAGATGAGGGGAAGTGAAAAGTCCAGTTCGAAGACCACATTCCCGTAAAATTGCTTCAGAAAAGGTGCATGTGGAACCCTGAATTCATACAGATCAGGTGAAAATGAAAAGAGGATTAAAGAATACTGCAATACTGAGGCCCTGCTTATTCTTTAACCAGGTATTGATGTTCCTTTTTCTGCACCAGCAAGATATGAATGATGGACCAAAAGTTATTTTATTTTACTTTGGAGAGCCATTAAACCATCACAATATAGTTATCTTTTGGCCCACAAATTTTCTCATACATTTTTAGTTCGCTCCATTATTTGACGAAACTTATGTAAAAAATTGTAGCATGAAAACTAGCCAACTCATTCATTGTATTGATAAGAAAAAAGTATGAATGCAAAATGAATATGGATAGCATGTCATTTTTTACAAAAAAAAAAAAATGATACTTCTCATTGACATAATGAAATGTTACCAACAAAATTTATTACAGGAGGAATTAACAGAAGAAAAAAAAAAAACCCAAGCATTGAGAAGAATTTGTTGGGAAACACATATTTCATTGATAGTATGAAATATTACCAAAATTCAAACCCTAGCTTTAGAGGATTGCGAAAAATTCATCTCGAGTGCTAGAAGATCATGAAGAGACTAAAAAGTGCAAAGTCCCTCTCCAGGTATGCATACTTCTATATAAGTCTCATTCATAGTGACCATGATCACATTCAATAAAAACCAAAACCAATTCCTCCTCCTTAATATCATTCTTTTCCTTAGAGAAGGCCATAATGAAGCTCATGATAGACACCTTATTCCCATCGAAGCTAAAAAAACGCCCTCTTGATTTCCTTCATACTAAAAGGAGTCTCCAACCCATACCTATCCCTAATGAAATAAAATGGAACAACAATTTAAACCTTCCAAGAACGGTCTCGGACAAACAGATGGGGAATAAGTGAGGCAAAGGCAGACAAGAGTTGCCCCTCAAGTTCTTTGTCCCCAACCAATACTTTCCCGGGTGTTTTTTCAAGAGTGAGACAGCCTTCAAGAACTTAAACGAGAGGTGCAAAGAAACTAAAGAGTTTTTTTTTCCCTCCCTCATTTTAGTGTGGGAGATGCAAAACAGGAAAACATAAATAATTTTTTTATAAATTGAAACGTGGTCTAATATTATTCAGTCAGACATTTTCCAATTAGGCAATACCATGCTAAAGCCTATCCAGAAATACTCAACACTATCACTATCACCCCCTTCCTTTCTTCTTTACTCATCTTGTGGATTTTGAATTGTTAGGCTTCGAAAATCTATCCACTTCATAATTCTTTACATCAAACATTAGCGACTACACTCAACTGCCCCACACCCAAAACCATCACATATCCAACTGTTTGCCTTTTTCCCCTCCCTCTACACCATCAGAGACCATGCATTCTAAATCCTCTTGCTACATCAACGGTCCTTTATGAGGTAGTAACATTTTGTACCTCCCCCATCAAAGTTCCTAATCAAGACTCAACTTATTCAATTAACAATGGATACAAAATCCCCAAAGAAGTAAAACAAGCTAGTAGCCCCTACCTATTTCCTGAAACTATTCCCTCCCTAACCTCATGCTATTTTGTACATATTTTTACTCTCTTTCCCCATATGTGACCTACAGTAACATTATGTTAAAGAACTTACACAAAAAATTGAAATTAGGATTAAACTTAAAAAATTAGAAAAACACCTCCATGCCCTTTATTGCAATTTACACTACTTCGCTCCTTCCTTATCTTGTTCGGGTAGCTCACGCTGCCTTGAGCACAAGTAAAACACACGAGAGGCTTATTCCCTATCATCTTTCTTCCTTCCTTTCTTTCTTTCTTTCTTTCTTTTTTAGTTGGCTTCTTTTGTTGGATTTTTCATTTGTCTTTGATGAAAATTTGTTTTTCATTCATTTATAAAGACTTAAATACCATAACATAAAATTTTCATTGATTGAGGCAAAAAGAGGTTATGAAATAAACTATACTCCAATGATCTTCTAACCTAAGTTTTATTCCTCACCTGCAATATGTATAAGCAATATTAAAGGTAGAAAATAGAATACCTTTCCCTTAGTTCCAGCCACGTGAATAATTTTTAGTTTCTTTACACATTCTACTAGGTCTAGAATCTGCAAAAGAAACATAAGCATTGTGATTTAATCTTTATAAAGTGGTTCAAGTGGTATGATAGGCAAACTCAAATGATCATTTCCACTCTTCTCTATTGTGACAATAGTAAATATTTAAAAAGAGCAATCATGCTAAATAATTGACCAACAAATTTTTTATCACATATTCACAATATCAGATAAGCAATGTTGAAACGTTTTACTTTCATGATTTCTTCATTAGAGTCTGATGTCAGAAGAGTTACCTCAATGTACTTTCTCATCCTTTCTAATTTTGTCTTGCTCCTGATTACTGGAGTCATTGCTCCACGACTTTTCTGTGTTATCAAGGACGAAAGTGCTTCCAGAGCAGATTCATAGGAAGATGACTGAGGCAAATTGTTTCTCATTTTTTTCCCCAAGTAACAGCCTCTATACCTTTCAGAAACCTATCACATCATTGTAAAACAAATAAGATTTTCGGAAACGCGAAATCAATAATCAAAAATCATGTTGAGCAAGTGCCAAAGAAGACACCAAATCTTTCTAAGTAGACAAACCTCACAAAACAAGAGAGAGGTGAGAGAGGAGAATTGAGAAGGGAAGAGATGGTGCTTTACTGAATAGCCTCCCAGATATTCTATTCCATCCAGGGTTTTCTAAAGCACAAGGCCCATTGAAGTGTAATAGTATTTTGGAACCTAAGAGTAAGTGCAAGCATCAGGGAGGCAAGGCATAGGGAATATTCAGAAATTGGTAATTTATAATACAACAAGAAAAATGTAGTATTTTGAAGTAGAGAAAAGAAATAACTAAAGAAATGAAGGCTTCACCAAAGGGATTATTGGGTTTTGTTTAAAAAAAGATAAGCAGGGGGGGAAACTCCAAGCATGTGCTAACGCTCTAATGAATAGATGGCTTTCTAAACTCAATATCTTGAGAATGAGATTGTGTGAGGAACAACTTCGGACCACTAACCCATTATTCTAGAGACCAGTGGTTTCAAGTGAGATCAAATGCTTTCAAATTCCGAAGGCGCCGATTATAAATCAATCAATATTCAACAATAATGAGAACAAAGAAGAAGAATTGTGTGTTGTTAAGCTAGATTGGAAAACAAAACCTTAGTAATTTTGCACATCAGAAGAAGAAAGTACAAATTCAAACTTAGGTTTCAACCTATTCTTCAAATTCTCATTACAAGACGAAGCACCGACTGATAGGGATAAGAAAGCAGCAGTTCCATCTCACTCTACCTCCACCTCTACCGATTCAGTAAAGTAGATGATGAAGCTAAACATTGAATAAACAAAATCACAGAAAGAACAGGTAGAGCAAAAGAAAAAAAAAAAAAAAGTAAGAGGTATACATACAGAAACGCAGAAATGCGAAGAAACTGGAGTAAGGGCTGCCCTCAGATTGGGGAGATTAGAAGCGCGAAGCCGCCATGAGCAAGAATCCGAATCTGGAGCAATATAATATACGTATGTCCGTACTTTTTTTGCCGTTGAAACTGGTGTCTTGAGGATGAAATTTGGATGGTTAAATTTCCGTTTTTTCCCCATAAATATTGATATTTTCATCCACATTTTTAATACAATTTTGTTTTTATTAAAATTGAGACAAAAGAACGAGAGAGGAGGAGGAGGATGAGGAGAAAGGAGAGAACGTTTTCATGGGCATTTGACGTCTTTTTCAACTTAGGGGTAAAAATGTAATTTCTTCCCGGTAAACAAATTATAATAATAAAATTTAAATAAAAAGACTGAAATTTACACCAAATAAATTATTATTATTATGGAATTTTTTTAACATTTTTGGTACCATACAATTAAAATATATTCCAATAAAAAATTAATAATAAGAAATTTGATTTTTTATTATGTAAATAATTTTAAAATATTTATTAGTAATTATATTGTAATTAATATACGAATCTCCTGATACTATCCAACCTGAACATAATTTCTGGTTGGACATAAGTTCATCCAACCTGAACATAATTTCTGGTTGGACATAAGTTCATATGGTGCCAAATGTGGAACTTATAAGCCTCCGCCGAACCTTCGTTCTCAGTCATAGCATCAAGAAAGTGTATCGCTTAAATATTTTTTGCTAAATTAAAAAAAAAAATACCCATAAACATTATATTTTATCTCAAAAATACTAATTTCAATAATACTTTAAACTTTTAACATAATTTAAAAAATATTCTTACCATAAAAACACTTGTTCTATGTTTAAAAAATACTTTTGAAAACACTTGTTCTATGTTTAAAAAATACTTTTGAAATTAAGGTATTAATTTTTATGAAAAAAAGATTAAATAAGATTTTAATATTTTTTAGATTTTTTAAGTTTAAGAGTGAAGCATATACAGCTCATCTGGTGCATCTAGAAGTATATATAGCAAAGAAGGATGAAGACAGTGAAGCATACAGCTCATCTGATGCATCTACAAGTTCTTGTGCTATTCTTCATATTCACAATCCAACTCTCCAAACTTCTCAAAATCACAACAAATTTCACAATATATGAACCATGGAAGTAACCCTTTTTCTCTGCCAGACCAAACACAAAAAATAATATGAAATAAAGAACTGAAAGGAAGTAAATAACTTGTAGGATTCTCACTTTCTGGTTGTTGGATTAACGGTCTCGAAAGCGTGTATGAGCAAGTCGACTTTTCGCTTACGAGCAGGAGTGAGTTTGGCCACGGCCTGTCGAAGTGCGTAATCAAGCATCCATTCCTCTGCGTTCTTTCTATCTTCTGTGTCTTGATGCCTCAGCTGAACTTTCTCTGATTCTGCATCTTGCTCCACACCCAAAAAGTTTGGTCGTTTTGGATTGAATTTCTTTACTTTTTCCATTGCTTTGATAAATCTCTTCAGAAGAATCACTTTTTTCAGATTGCTCCAATTCTTTAGAACTTGCTGATTGTGTTTTCTTCCCATGTTTTGCTCTTTTCCATCCTCCTCCTGGCTGTTCGCATCGACAGACTTCACCGGTCGTTCTTCGCTATTAGAATCAGTAGTATTGTGTACCTCTTTTCTTCTATCTGTTATTTCGGAGGCGTCTTGTTTCTCTTCTAATGCTTGGTCTCTATTCGAGTTGTCGGAGAATGATCGATCGTCAGGTGAGGTACTGTTTTCTGGAAGAGGGATATCGTCAATTGCTTCGTTTACTAGCTTTACTGCTTCAATGCATCGGAGCTTCACGTCTGGATCGTTCACAAACCCGTCTTCCATTTCCTTGTTTTGTTTTCTTGAAGAAAATTCCTTTTCATCTTTGTTAGTCTCCTGACTGACAAGAGGTTTCAAACCATCTTTAGCATCAATGCTCGAAGCCATGTGCTTGTATATCAAGAACCACATGCTTGCATTCTTTTTTGGCTCGAACTGTGTTTCATTTGCTTCACCAATGCTGGAAACAGATTCTGCTTGTGTGGAACCAGCTTTCAATTGAGCTATCCGACTTCTATCGAATATAGCCGCCCTTGTTTTTTCTAGTAGTTCATTTGCTGAGGTGCAATGTTCGAAATTATTGACTTCGGTCGATTTCTCGTGTTCTTCGGAAGTGAGGGTTCTAGCTATTGCTGATGTCTCATACTCTTCTGATGAGAGGCTTTTGGATGTATCAGATACTCCACCGGTTAAGCTGATCGAGCTATCGTTTTTGGATATTGTTTGGTCAGCCTCCAGATCTCCGTTATGAAGTAGTTCCGAGTTTAAACGTGCAATTACCCTTTTTGAAATCTTTAGAAGCTTTCCATTCACTGAAACTTCTTGATGGCTAGTGTCTTCTGGCTTCTTGGAGGTCTCATTATCTAAAATGGCATCTTTGACCTCTGGCAAGCGTATATCAACCGACACGGGATAGCCTCCTTTTACAGTGATCCCTTCTTCTACCTTATCGAGATTGCGAGTAGCAACGTCCCCTACTAGCTGCCACCCTCTACCAGTAGTTTCATGAACAGCTTGATCTTGTTCTGATTTCTCAAGATATTCTAAGTTTGCTTCATCTTTATTAAAGAACGTCATTGAATTCTGGTTTTCTAACTTGGTAATACTGTTTGCTTGGCCTGCAGATGCTTTGAAAATGTTCTTCATGTTCGAAAAGTTCCCAAGAACGGTATCATCAGCACCGTTTTGACGTTTGCTTTCTTTATCAGTTCCATCAGAAACTCCATGATCTTGTTGAGAATCTACAGGAGAAGCTACTTTGGTCCTGATGGGAGCCTCAACTCCAGGCAATGGAAGAACTGTTTCAAAAGCTTCTACAAGCAGAGAAACTCTCTTCTTCTGAGCTGGTTCTAATTTTGAGATAACCTGTTGTAATGCATAATCAAGCATCCATTCCTCGCTGTTTTTTCGTTCTTCTGTCGTTTGACGCTGGAGATGAACCTTCTCTTCTTCTGGGTCAGGATTAAGAGGTCGAAAACGTGGCTTCTGTGGGTTAATCTTCTTTACTTTCTCCAAAGCCTTGACAAATCTCTTGAGAAGGATTAGCTTTTTCAGGTTACTCCATCCCTTAGCTACTGACTTATTTGTTGACGTGTTTTCAATTGGCATTGTTTTCTTTTCTTCCATGGACGTTTTATTTTCGACTTTAGTTCCCATTTCGTCTCGATCTTGTGCAAGATCCTCTCCAGCAGAATGAGTACTGGAAGAAGGCATTAAGAAGCTTGATCCTCTAACTTCAGCCGGAATCCTTCCCCACAGCTTCTCTCCTGAATTCTCATCACGAGGTCGAGGGGATTGGTCTCGAATCTCCGGGAGAAGGATTCTATCAAAAGCATCTTGCACTAACTTAACAGCTTCCCTCTTGAAGAGCTCAAGTTTTCTATTGGCAGCTGCATCAGGAGACACATCTGCTCCTTCCTGATCTATATTGGTGACAAGCTTAAAGGAGCTGGAGTTGGTGTCTAATACCAATTTGTTGTCAACGTCCTTTGATGTTTCCTTCACCTGAAGAACAGGTAGTTCATTATCAGCATTGGCAGAGTCGCTGTCCACAACATTCTTATATACCAACTGCCACATTCTGACATACTTTGGATTAATCTCCTGCACTTCTGCTGTAATATTTAAGCTGATACTCGAGCTAGAGCTCGAACGCGATAGACTATCCATTTCCGCTGCCAAATCTCCCTTGAGCTTCTCACCAGCTTCACTTGGACAACTTTGACATCCCATTTGCTCATAATCAACAGCAGAAGAGCCCAAACTTTCCTTCAAGCTGCTGCATTCACCTGCATCAAAATTATCTTTCCCTTTCGAATCGGTATCCATAAGAACACTAGGACGGAATTCTTCCTCTACAGTGGATACCGGTTTGCCTGTGTTCTCATTAGCTACTTGTCCTTCTCTACTCACCATTTTGCTTGCTTGAATACCTTCCTTACGTTTTCCAGATTGTTTGGCTCGAAAAGGCGGTTCGCTCTCAGTCTTGTTTTTCTGAGCTCTCATGGCACGTTTCCTCATGGACTTGAAACGCTTCAATGGAGCAGCATTTCTATGAGAATGGCCATGGAGGGAACAGTAACTGTAAGGACAAATCTTCTTTACAGCAAGTTTTTCAGATTCTTTCTCTTCTCCAGGTTGGATCTCAATGTTATCAGAAAACTTAGAACCCTTGAGGGCTGAAGAACAAGTCATCTTTTCAACACATGATTCTGGATGTAACTCAGACATTTCCATTTTGGAATATTTCTTAGACTTGGAAGCAGCCAATTTCGCGAACTTCCTCACAGGTTTTAGTGATGCCTTTCTAGTTAACATTATCCCCGAGATCACCGAATTTGATTTTGAATAAACCGCAGAAACATCACTATTCTTTTGTCCATTATTCCGATTCCCTAATTTAGATCTGCGGGAACTTACCGGAGATTGCAATTCTCCTTGATCGGAAGATTTCCTTATCAATGTCCTTTTGAATCTAGAACTCGACATTCTCGCCATAGTCCTCGTAGGCTTTGAACCAGAGCGGCTTGCCACTGATTTCTGTTGCAAACAGTAGATTAAAAATCTCACTACAAAATCCACCATTATCAATCGCAAATACTCGAGAAACGAGAAATCGAAATCTGAGACAGACCTGAGAGTAGTTTCTTCTCGCTTCCGAGCTCCTAGTGGTCTTCATGAAATTCGGCGACGAATCAGAAACAGAATTTGTAGTAGAATCTCCATAGCTTGACGAAGAAGAAGAAGACGACGACGACGACGAAACAATACCGAAACTGAACTCAGATGTCCCTTCTCCAGCAGTTGATTTTTCCAAGCTCGGGATTCCATCTTCATTTCTGCGATCATCTTCCGATTGCGAGTGATGATGATGCCGACGATGATGAGAATCCACGTCGATCATTCTCTCGAATCAGCCACACCAGAATCAGAAATAGATTTAGGAAAAACAACGATCGGGCGAGGAAAACAAAGGATTGAAATCGTTCCTCGAAAGCAAATCTCAAGGTTATTGTATTGAATTGATCAGATTTGTAGTCTGCGGACGAGAATTTGAAGACGTATTTGAATGTGTGAGTAAAGAAAAGGATTTCTTGACTTGCACAAATGCACAAGCCTGCCAGGCCATGGCCTATGTCTACATTTTTATTCTGTAATTTGGTTGACCAGCCTTGCTGGGCTCCACCCAGGTTGACCAACACAGCTCAAACCCTTCTTGTTCTTCCATGCATCACAATAATATTAATATTATTTTTAGTAACAAATGTGTTCAGAAATATCTTATTTTTAGTTGCTTTAGTCAACCATTTGTTAGCAAAAATTGCTATTAGTTAGTTACTATACGCGTCTCGTTTTAATATAGTAAAAGAGTGTAAGATAAATCTAGTGTGTTTACTCCCGGTGTTCCCTTCTTACCAGTTTTAATGTAGTAAAGCTGGTGTGTTTGCTTCAGTTGTCCAGTTTCTACCCGTTTTAATATAGTAAAACAGTGTCAGATTACTGTCCGTCTTCTTGAATTGTTTTGAATTTCTCTCGATAAATCTCTTGAAAGCTCAGTTTTACTCTAATTGTTCGGTTATTACCGTGCACGCGTGTATATATATATATAATCACATTAAATACGCAATAAATAAATCGTGGAAATAGCTCAAATAGCTACATGTGTGTTGTCCTTTAATAACTATTGTTTTTTAATAAGAATTTTAACATTTTAAGAAAATATTATCACTTGCATTTAATGACTTCCAAATAAGGGTGGTTGGATGCACTTACTAGTTTAGGTTCAATAACTTAATTATATAAATTTTAATTTTAATTAATAAAATTATATCTATTTTTAAAAAAATTAAAATACATTATTTATAGTTAGTTTTAAAATGAAAAATTATTATTAATAATTTATTTAAAAAATACCCATTTCAAAAATACTTTTTAAATTTTCAAAAATTTTATTAATGTCCTAAAAACTTCAAATTATTTTTAATTTTATAAAGAAATTTAAAAATATTTTGTTGGTAAGTAATATGTTTTAAAAATACTTTTAAATTTTTAAACTAACATTAAAATGGATAATCTATGAGATGTGGATAGACGGGTTTGTTCTTATATTGACGGTAATGATTTTTAAATTTTTTTTTATAAAGGTAAAAGGTGTTAATGCTATTTTTAAAATTTTCAACATTAATTATACGATTAAAACTATAATGAAATATTATAGAAACGAAAAAACAAGACTTAAAAAGAGAAAAATAGAGATTTGAATAACAAAATACTACTAATACGGTAATATGACCATCTCTTACTCGGTGGTCTATTCCTTGTGTAGCCTACCGCCGTATAGACAGATCATGGTTAACTTTAATATGATTACAATTATCGTCAATTATGTTTTTTATGGATAAATTAACGAGAAAAATATAAGTCAACTTATCGTCAATGTGATCTAATGATACAAATAATTACTCAGCCGCGACATACCCTACAAAATAATTAGTGTGAAGTGAGTAGCAAAATTGGGGCGTGGTGTGGGAAGTCGGTCCTATTGGGGGATTCATTTACGCCCCAAATTGTGGAACTTTCAACCCTAACCTTCACACCACTTGTGGCTCTTGACTCTTCCATAAATACTTCACACTTATCCTTTTCTCTTATTTTTATTTTTATTTTTATTTAAAACACAAATTCCTTTTATTTCCAATAATAATAATAATAATAGATAATGACGTTTCGTTTTTTATTTATTCAAATCTCATATTTTCAACCCAACTTAATCAATTCATTTATTCCATAACATTAATTGTAATATATATATAAGATATTGACTTTTTACTGGCTTAAAAAAAAAACTAATTTTTTAATAAATTTAATATAACTTTTTTTTTTTTTTTTTGTTAACAATGATGCTCGGATAACATGTTAAGAATGAAAAATATTAGTGGAATCGAACATTCTTGAGAAACATAGGTGGGATCAAAAGAATGATATATCTTGTGAAGGTTGATCCCAATTTATCATTGTCCTCTATTCCTATCTGTGTCACTTTTCTTTTGGTCTGTTTTTCCTCTACTCCTGCTCTGATACCATGTTAAGAATGATGGTATGATATCATGTTTGGTCTGTTCTTCCTCTTCTCCTGCTCTGATACCATGTTAAGAATGATGGTCTGATATCACGTTTGGTCTGTTCTTCCTCTTCTCCGCTCTGATACCATGTTAAGAATGATAGTCTGATATCATGTTAAGAATGATACTTTGATATCATGTTAAGAATGAGAAACATTAGTGGGATCGAACGTCTGAGAAACGGTGGGATCTAAAGTCCAATTTTCTTTACAACGTTTAAATAGAATACAAACTACAAACTAAATCGTAAAAATAAGAGAAAATATTATACTAACCAAATATTGAAGATAAGATAAAATATATCAAATATAAAATCGTAATTGATTACGACTATATAAAATATATTCCAATACTTTTTTAAAAAAAATAGTGATTTTCTATTTAGAATGTATATGTGCATATCTTGAGCATACATGAGTTGGTTTGGGTCGAGAAAAATTATGGACCAACCCAAAATTTTGGATTGGTTGGGTTAGTAAACCCAATAACTTGAAATTGTTTCACAACACAACTCAACCTTAGTTGGGTCGTACTGTTATGTTATAGCAGTGAGTGACGAGCATAGGCATGTGTGATGGTCAGTTAGCTACGATGGGGCAAGGAGCTGCGAGGGGAATAACCTGGGATGGTTGCCATGTGGTTGCGATGACCATGTGATTAGATCAGCTCGAATCGGTTTGATTTAAAAAAAAACTTAGTCCGACCCAATTCAACCCAAAATGCTTTACAATGTATCAATGACTAAATTATGCTTTCTAAAAAAACACAATCTTTTAGGACGATTTTATTCTAGGTATTTTGGTCTTGTCTACTCGAGGAATATTGGTAGGGAATATATATAATATAATTAAAATATAAAATTTAACTATTTATTATTATTATTATGTTAATGAAAAGGAATTTTATATTTGGTGTAAATTAAAAAAAAAAAACATCTAAATTCAATGTACTGAAAACAGTAATGAAGCAAAGATTTTATATTGAATAATTTAATATTTTATATATTTAAAAAATTCAGACAATGATTGGATGTGATTGTGTGTATGATCACTCCCCATTACACATTCCGCGTCCTTCGCGTGTCCAACCCATCATCGAATTTCCACATGCTTCAATTATAATCTTTTTAACATAATAGATAATAATATTAATTAATCCAATAAAAAAAAATTATTTATTTTTACCTAATCCTTCACTAACTTTAATAAAATTCAAAATTATATTTGATTAATACAAAGTAAATTAAATAATTTCCTTAATATACATTAATTATAATTATATTTACAAAATTTATTTAAATTTTAAAATTTGAGTAAAAATTGTCTCCCATCTTATTTTTTTTTTTTTTTAATATTTGAAAATAGAAAATGAAGTTTCTCGAGAGAGAAAATGTGGAAGAGTGAGGTTAGAAGAGAAGGTGCGTGTTCGTAAAATCTAGTTTTCATCTTAAAATTAACAAATTTAGTTAAGTAATAATGTTCAAGAATTTCCGTTCTTTTGAGTTTTGGGCCTCGAGAATTATTGAACTCGAATAATAATCAAATAAAGGAAAAACAATATCTCTCGAATCCAAATAAAATAGTTTCAAAGGGACAAGAGAATTAAGAATCAAACCGAAGGCCAATCATGGATTGCCACGTGTACATATACTTGTAAAGAATCTTCCATGATCGAGATCTATTTCTTTAATTTAATTAGTACAAAAGATTAACGCCTTTTTCAGTAAAAAAGAAAAAAGAAAAAAAAAAAACTTTATTGTAATGATTTTTGTTTTTCGAACATGGATCGTAACCCTACTTACCATAATCTCCCTTTCGCGCCGACACAAAGTGGAGGCTTTTGCTTTATTTGCTTCTTCCTCCGATAAAAGTAAAATAATTTGGGACGTGCATTTCGGTTTCACATATCGAACATGGGAGTTCCGGTTTTCTAAGGATTCCCGGTTGCTAGTTCACCCTTTTGGGAAGAACGGCATCGAGACAAAATTAATGTAACTCGGCTCAATTTCTGAACTTTTAAAAATTATACGATTTAACCTAATAAAATGTATAATCGACCGCTATTATTCATCTCATTTGAATAGACTCCCGCCCAAACTCATTAAGATAAATTTAAAGATTAAAAAATAAAAATAAATGCGACAATTTTCCATGAGTAAAAAATACAGAAACCGCTCAATAATACTGACCATTTATGAATATCAAATTTATAATACCAACCGTCACAATTGCAGTTTCTAGGCAGTAGATTTGGTAATTGTGCAGCACTCACTCTTTACATTGAGTGAATCAAGCCAACTTTGGCTCACGTTGCCTATAGTTGGGCAATGTGTATACAAACCTCATGTTAAGAATGAGAAATAGAAATAGAATTGGAATAGAAGGTGTCCTCTCGTTAATATTCATAAGCTTTAAATAGGATAGAAGCGAGCAACTAATACCTACGAACATTGAGAGAATATTAAGATATATTCCATAAATAATATATTATATCTCAACGCCTCGAGTCACGATTTTAAGAGAAGATTTTAAAAAGCTCAGAAAAAAAGTTGTGTTATATAACATGCCAGCAAAAAGAAGACAACAACGGCTTAAACAATATATAACTTTTATTAAAGTACGCTTTGAATATATATTAATTAATTATCAACGGTACACAACCAAATCAAACCAAACCAAACCAAACCAAACCAGTTTTGCCGTTGAGGAAATTCGGTTTGATTTTAATATTAGTAAAACCGGAAGAAAAAAAAACCAAACCGAACCATATATATATATATTCAAAAAAAAAAAAAAAGGAAAAAAGTGATGAAAGGAAGTTTCGGGGAAGTTGCTAGGGGCCGTACAATGGCAGAGTTCCTCCCACCATTTAACCCCCACCTTCACCCCTCCAATGGCCGCAAATCAAAGCCCCTTCTCCTTCTTCACTATGAAGCTCCCAAAACTCACCGCCAAATCCTTCTCCCCCGGCCGTCTTTTCCCATCCAAAAAGCACCGCACCAGCCTCTCCAAATCCGAGCCCCCTTCCTTCGGCTCCGCCTCATCCTCCTCCCCGACCAGCGTCTTACCGCCTCACCCGCACCCCCACCTCTCCGGCGAATGGTCCGACTTCTCCGACACCCACACCGACTACCGCAAGGAACTGGAAGCTCTACTAGGCCTCATCGGCGCCGAACCGCCGAGCGAAGAGGAGCTCAAGATGATGATGAGCCAAGTAGACAAAGTCGGCCCGCCTTGCCACTCCGAACTGCGAGATACGTTTGAAATCTTCGACGCCGACCACGACGGGAGAATCACGGCGGAGGAGCTTTTCAGTGTGTTCTCCGCCATGGGAGATGAGCAGTGCACGTTGGAGGATTGCCGGCGTATGATAGCCGGAGTGGACAAAAACGGAGATGGGTTCGTGTGCTTCGAGGACTTCGCGGTTATGATGGAGTGCCAGAGATGTTGAACATCAACCAACCCCGCCCCTTTTTCATATATATTTTTTCAATTAATTATTAAAAAAAAAAGAAAAAAAAAAAGAAGATGTGTATGAGGGAGGGGGAGTTTGTTCGTTTCTTGTATTTGTCTCGGTTGTTCCAAAGTATATAAAACGACACTAAGTCGTCGGATCCGACATAATTGGTCAAACCATCCCTTCTCCAATTTTTTATTTTCTTTTTTAATTAAAATATATTTTCATCCACGTTTTTCAATAAATCTTCTATTTATAAATGGTAACAAAAGAAAATATGTTTTTCTATCTTACCTCACAAATTTTTTAATAATAAGCTTAATTTAAAAAAAAAAAAAACCATTATTATTTTTTATTTTTTAAAAATTAAAGAGTATTAATAAAATTAATGATATTTTTATCTTTTTAATTAAAATTAAAAGATATTTTAATTTTTTTTAGTTTAAAAGTTTTTTTTTTATAGAAAAAATGAATATACAGCGGTGGCCGCAAGAGTAGCCGAAAAAAAAATATATATATATATATATATATATATATATATATATATATATATATATATATATATTATTTTAATTAAATAATGTCACGTTAAATTTAAGACCAAAATGTTAAAAGTAATATGACTACGAGACCTCGAAAATTTTGTTGTGTTGACTTTACGAGCCTTTATGGTTGAGTCCTAGAGTTAGGTGCCACAATAAGTCTAAAGGGTACAGTAACCGGTAAATAGTTTATAGTTTTCATATTTATTTTGACGTACAATTATTTTCAACCAACTAAACAATAATCGTTTCAAAAGTGGAATCCCCGAGGTAAAAAGTTTTTTTTTTTAAAAAAAAAACTACCCAATTACAACTTAAAATTAATAAGAAATTTTATAATTTATCTCTAAAGATTGAGAAACCACGTAAAAAGTACGGTTTTTATTTTTTAATATAAATTTCATTAAAAAAAATAATAAATCAATTTCTTCAAATTTAAAATTAGAACATGACGGAAAGTTAGAGAGGGATGGAGGATAGGATTATAATCTTATCACGAGTCTCGATTATGTAATGGAGAAAAAATGTTCTCCATTCTCTATCTAAACGAGAAATTTTCTTTCGAGTCAGAATGTGTTCTCACTATTATCGGTGAATTCAAAAATTAAATAATTACGTCACAAAAATTATTGTAAATGAATAATCAAAATTATTGCGATATAAATTATGTAAAGAAAAATAGTGGAAAAAGTGGGAGTAATAATAATAGTTTTGGATGAAAATTGGAAAGGGAGGTGGAAGGAAGTTTCGAGGAAATTAAGGGAAAATGGGTGGGCGAAAACAACATGCTTTCGACCAAACTTAGGATTCTAAAATAAATTCTCTGTTTTTCAACTAAAAACAACCAAACCTAAAACTGTGTCTCTCTCTATGTTTTATAATCCTTTTTGTAAATTTCAGTCAAACTCGTTAATTTATTGCTTTAGAAGGTTCCGTGTACGTCTTAGACTTACCTCAATTGTTACTCGAAGTCAATTTTAAAAGTATATAATTTACTTTATTTTCATTTAAAATATATAAATGGTCGTAAAATTGATTGAATTATATATATTAATACGATGAGGATGAGTTAGTTAATGAGAATTTGAACCTGAGTTATGTTGATGTTGTAACGCTCAAATATGTATAAAATAAATTGAATCTATAAAGAAAAAAAATTGCAAATTGATTTGGTTTTTGTCGAGTTGGTTGACAAACACGAGATACAACTCATGCCCAGAACAATTTTCTCAAGGAATTTCGACTGTTCGTGTATTATAGGTTGCTTGAGGTTCATCATGCTTGAAACCTTCAACTATGTTGGTTTGTTGTTTGTTCGAGAATATTTGTCTCTAACACTATTTTCGTTGATTTGTGGTCGTGTTGGACAAAATCTAGTCTCCCCCATTTGTCTTCTTCTTGACTGAGGTCAATTTCAGATTGTGGTTTTGACCGATTTCCTTTTCTTCACTTCTGTTATGTTGTCGCAGTTTCTCGTATTGTCAGATATGCACAATCTCCGTCATTCCTACAAACACTTGATTGAAAATATTGAACATTTCGTTAAAGAAAAGTTGTGCATTACTGATAAGAATTGATCGGTTCAATTTGATTCGACCAATTTGAACTTTATATTAAAAAAAGACCGTTAGGATTATAAAAATTGAAAAATGAATGAAATATTAAAGTTGAAATTATAATTTTAAAAAATAAATAGAAAAAGGTGATGTATCCAAAGTTATCACGCTCTTATATATATATATAGAATTTATTGTTGTAAAATTGTGAGGGAGCTTTGGTTGAGCTTCTTGGAAACTTCCTTGGCTCATAGATCGACAAAGACAAAACATTTATGTTTATGATTAAGATGGGACGAAAGAGGTTCCCTATGTTATCATTTTTTTTAAAAAAAAATTTAGGTGATAAGCTTTGTCGTTTTTTTCGTTTTATTTTGATATTGTCCTTCCACGTAGTTCGTGAAAAAAAATACAGCGGTAAAGTGTAAGAATCCCACATTGGTTGGGGACACGATCCAAAGTTGGTTAAGGAGGAGAACGAAACACCCTTTATAAAGGGTGTGGAAACCTTTTCTAGGAGACCCGTAATGGGGAACCCCACAAGGAAAAGCCTAAAAAAAGACAAATTTAGATGAGCACCAGTTTCGTACTCTGAAAGATCCGAAAGTCCAAAGAGGATAATATATGCTAGTAGTGGACTTTGAGCTATTACAAATGGTATTAAAGCTAAATACCAGACTATGTGTCAGTAAGGATGATGGGCCCTGAAGGGGGTGGATTTGGTGGGGTCTCACATTGATTGGAGAAAGGAACGAGTGTTGGCAATAACGCTGATCTCGAAGGGGGTGGATTGTGAGAATTTCACATTGGTTGGGGAGAAGAATGAACCACCTTTTTTATAATGGGTGAAAACCTTTTCCTAGCGATAGTTAATGGGGAAGCCCATAAGGGAAAGCCTAAACAAGACAGAGAATCTGGATGAGTACCGATTCCGCTGTATAACTTTGAAAGATGGGAAAGCCCAAAGAGGACAATATCTACCAGTAATAGGTTTAAGCTGTTACAAATGGTATTAGAGCCGGACACTGGACTGTGTGCTAGTAAGGACGCTAGGCCGCGAAAGAGGGTGGATTTGGTGGGGTTCCGCATTGATTGGAGAAAGGAATGAGTGCAAGCGATGACGCTAAGCCCTGAAAGGGGTGAATTGTGAGAATCCCACATTGGTTGGGGAGGAGAACGAAACATAAGGGTGTGGAAACCTTTCCGGGCGTCAATTTTACCTACTCAATCATAATTAGCCATTCAATAATTAAATTTAAACATTAAGAAGAAAAATCACGTGCGTTGCACGTGAAAGAAACGACTAAGTATACAAAGAGATGGATTTATCCACCTTTGATCTTGATCTTCATTCTTGTTTATTGCTTTAGGACGATGCAAGCTGCAAAGGTTTCTGCTAAATTGACTCGACGGGGTTTGTCTTGGCGCCATGGATATAATCCAACCATGAGAATTTCCAGCCGGTTTCTTAGTTCATCTTCGGCTTCGCATGTAGGCGTCAGCTCCACTAACGGGCTTGGCATACAAGGAGAAGTTGATAATTGCTGGTATGGATGAAATGATTGTTCTTCACAAGTTCGTAATCCAGTATGTATGATCTGATTATAGGGAGAATTAATCATACCTTTTGATGCTTTCGTTTTTTTTATTAAATCGCTTATCGTTGCAATATCTTTTCGCTGAAAATGTGCGATAGAATTCTTTAAATCCTTATGGGGTGAGTCGTGGAATATGGATCGTGAAATTTGGGCGTTTTTCTTTTACGATTTTACGATGGGAAATCTACTTCGACGAATTTGGGGGAATCCGTTCAAGAGTGGAGCTAATAAGCTTTGGGTAAATGCAATCCAAACTATTATGTGGGTCTAGTTTGGAAGAAACAACATATTGTTCGGAGGGTACATGATTGGAGAGAATAATTTGATTAGTTTCAATCTTTGCTTAGCAATTAGGCCTTTGCAATTAATACAGATTAGGGCAGATTCTTGTCAGCTCTGGTGGGGAGTATGCTCTCTTGTATGATCACGGGTTGGTGTATTTATTTGTATAATGGGGCTTTGAAGTTCTAGTAACACGAAGAGGATTTAGACCACTTGTTTTGGGATTGTGATTTTATTACCTCTCTGTGGGATCAGTTTTTGCAAGACTTCTGGGGTTGCAAGCTCGTAACAGTGGGTGTTGTTCGATGTTTGAGGTGCTCTTGAACTCTCCTTTCCATGAAAAAGGAAGGGTTCTTCGGCTGCGGGGCATTTGGCTTGAGAGGAGCTCGAGTTTTTTGTGGGGTGGAGAGGTTTGGGGAGGATCTTTGGGATTTGATTAGATGTAATTCCTCTTTATGGGCAATATTTTTCTAATGCTGTTTACACAAATTAAGTTTGTACTTTGTAGTATTTATTGAAGATTTTCTTTAAGTCTCATGCTTAAGTTTGAATATAACACTGCATTTATGTCTCCACAGTCAACAAGATGGAGGAGATGTAGTTCTTTCAAGAGAAAATAAGAGGAGATTGTCCCAGGTGAAGTTCTAAAATGGCAGTTCCTAGTGAAATATACTATAATTGAAAAACTGTAGCTCCGATAACTATCGATCTGTCTACGAAAAAAAATCAACAAAGGTGTTTCAAATTTTGAAATGACTTTTTTCCTTTGTACTGCCATTGAGTTCTCTTTCCAGTCAAGATCTGTCTCATATGATTTGAAACAAGTTTTATTTTGGGTACTGTGTTCTTAATCTTAACTATTTGCAATGTTATTTTCAATTATAATGGTTATTTAAAATATTCAGCGGTTTCTGTCTCTTATGAAAAAAAGGAGAATAATAAATATATTGAATTTGTCTGATGAACGAATTTTTTCTGCCTTTGCAGTATTTACGCCATATTCCGCAGTTTGTGAAGATTGTTGAAGTTGGTCCAAGAGATGGACTACAAAATGAAAAGCACATTGTACCAACTGCTGTTAAGGTTGAATTAATAAAGATGCTAGTCTCTTCTGGGTTGCGTGTTGTTGAAGCCACGAGTTTTGTTTCTCCTAAATGGGTACCTCAGGTAACTTGGCTTGATAGTCAAT